TTTTGTTAGTGACTCAAACAGTGGGTCACCGATAAGGATAATCTAAGGATGTTCATGATCAAAGTGGAACTCTACGAATTTCCATGAGATATTATAATCATTGATAATTCGATATCAATGTCATTTTATTTGATATCTTTCGTAAAGAGTGTTTATAGTTATTAAAAAGGATAAAAAGGTGTGAATATCGCTCATATATATAATTTTTCAATGTGTCGAGCCTAAGTGGCAGACTCGTATGTTTCAGAAGTTTATTTGGCATAATGCTTTGTAGTGACACATGTACAAGTTTGATTTGAGGCTTGAAAATTACCATAAACTCTCTTAGTTTTTTTTCGTAAGTTACCATATGCTACTCTTACTTTTTCTTATTTAATTCATATAATAATTGTTATAAATAAGTATTCTTTTTATTTTTAAATCTTTATAATTTTTTTATTTGTATTTTATTTTTTGTATATTATATCTCAAAATAATCATATTTTAACGATCTTCGATTTGACATACATATTGCACATATAAAATAAAAAATAATTACATCTAGCATTATAAATAAAACTAAATTTAAAAATATAATTTCAAAAATATGAATGCAACATAAATTATTTTATAAAAAATATAATAAAAATCTAATTTAGTAATACACCATAAAAAAATCATTTTAATGCGTTTTCTCATAGATTTTAAATAAGTACAAAAATACAGGCCCTATTTTGAATTAATTACTACGTTTTAGTTATTTATTAATTTTTATATTCATTATACATAATTTTACAATAAAAAGATAAATTATTTTAATTTTTCTATTGTACAAATGTTAATATATTTAAATGCTCGTGTAGTACACGAGTATTGTACTAGTATAATTATATTTACCAATCATATATAATAGTTTTTTATGCTTTTGGTGAAACTATATTTGAGTGGTACAAAAAATGAGTAAAATCAAAATAATATATCTTAAAAAAGTAAAACATGTTTGTTTCAACNTAAAACATGGGCTGTCAACTTTTTCTCTCAAATAAGGTCTTAGTTTTAACAATCAACTTCGATTAATTTTGACCAATCGAAATTATATCAATGCAATTACCAAAATGTTAGATAATCTAATTCAGTTCCTTTTATCAAATCAGGGCAGACTCATTTTGGAAATTGGAGCATAAGATTTCAATATTTAAACATTGAAAACATTTTACCAGGAGATTATGATCCTAAAAATAAAATCTCTCAAAATTTTTAAGACCACATGCAAGTAATAATTATATGAAGAAAAAAGTGGAGAATTAACATATCAAACAAACAATGCATATCTAAATTTTCAACACCATATGCGAGTAATAATTATATGAAGTTTGTATATAGAAGGTTTGTATATATAAGGTTGGCCCCACTATGGAGCCAACTGTTGGCTTGATAGCAAAATCGCAAACCAAACACTGCATATTCATGTTAAACTATTGAATTGAATTTTTTTTTTGGACTTTTGACTTTTTCTTGTTTAATAAAAATAAAATATTAACTATTTTTAAACGTGGAATGTTAATACTAAAAAAATCAATATAACATCATTTCGATAGTGTATGCATAAAATAACACTACATAAATTTAATACGTTATATAATTCAAAACAGTTATTAAAAATCGTGATTAGCCCCCACTATAACAATAAGTTACTCAATAATACAATCACCTCTATGCTATCAACTACTAATTAATAACCATATAAAGATTAATTACATTTCTTAGCTTCATTTATCCTTTGATAAATACCCAATAATACATGGAATTAGTATGTTTTTTTGACAGGGCCAATTTCGAAGACTACTATTGGATATATTTGACCCGATTTTCACATACAATTTGTCTGTAACAACTCGAGTAAGTAAAACACGCACACAATGCTTGCTCCCTTGTTCGAAACACTAATTTTAAAAAAAAAAAAATTGCAAATACATTTTTTGCTTTCGCTTTTTCACACTTTTATTTAATTATGACTTATTGAATTATCCTCAAAAAGTTATATTTGTTTTTTTGCATGAAATTACTATTATATTGTTAATACATATGTGATGTGAGTATGTTTGTGGGTCATGGGTATTATTTATTTTTTTAATTATAAGGTTTTGTCAATTTCTTAAAAAAGAATAAATAGCTTTTTTGCTCTTAATCTTATAATGGCATGCTTTAATGCAAGATTTCCCGAATATCTCCCTATAAATATATATACACTCTAAAGTCTGCCTTGTTGCTCAATTCAAGAAATTTATATATCGTTGCTTATACGTCGTCGTTTGCGCAGTGATGCTGACAATTGCATTTTGCTAATTGGTAACTGCAATTTTTGGCATTTTTTTACATGTTTGTTAAAAAGTGCACCTTTTTTGATGTTTGATTATTTATATCAAGTAATGTGAGCTTTACAAAAATATTTTTGTGGGCTTTTGTTCTTTTTTGTTTTTACTGGTGTGAGAGNTGTATGATGGGAGGTCGCTAATTATCGATGGGCAAAGGAAGCTTTTGTTCTCTGGCTCAATTCATTATCCAAGAAGCACACCCGATGTAATTTCTCTCTCTTTCTCTCGTGTGTGTGTGTGTGTGTGTTTTCTTGGATTTTTGTGCATTGATAATTTGTTATTATTATTATTTTTTGTGTGTGTGTGCGTGTTTTTTTTTTTCTTGTTAAAAATTGAAAGGTTGATTTTTCTAATTATGTATGAAGAAATCAAGAAGGATTCAAATCAAGGTTGTTTAATTGGATTTTGACTACTAAAAGTAAAATAAGATTATTAACAATGTGATTGGATATATAGAGATTTTGTATAAGAACTTTGTCTTGCACAAGAGATTAATTAAATACTTTTATTTTTTATGATAAAAATGTAATGATTAAATTTTAGATAAACGTAAAAAAAGCAAAATATAATGGCTGATAGTATATATTTTATAAGCGGCTGAATAATACTTTTTTATATTGTTAAATGTGTACTGATGATTTTTTTTTTTTTAAATTCTGTTGATAAGTATAAAAATTAAGATGGATTTTTGTTAATAATATTTTGTACCCAATTATAATTTTGTTAAAAAAGCTAATTTAACAATGGTGAAAGATTTTTTTTTTGTTATATATATATACAATTTCCATAAGCATTGAATGGGAGAATAAATGGAAGTTCCCCAAACCCGACTATGCTACTTTTTTTTGCTTTCATTTAATTAGCAAGAAAATCCCAAATGGGGATCCATGAAAGTTAATGGAAAATCTTTTTATCCGTCTTATTATTGACTTTTTCAAGAAAAAAAATATTAGCAATATTGAATTAACATTGGATCTTATTTTGTATCACCAAAATATATATAAATATATATATATATATATAGTCACATACAAAAAATTTGTTATATTCCAACAGAAAATTCTATGATAATATATTCCAATGGAAATTCCAACGGATATTCCGATGGTATAACGTCTATTGAAATGATTCCGTTGGAAATTCCAATGAAAATATTCCGTTGAAATGTGATTTTCATTGGAATTTTAAATGGAATTTGATGATTCCAACGGCTATATTTCCAAAGGTTTTTTACCGTTGGAATGTGTAATTTCTGTTGTAATTTTTATTTCCACCCCCGTTTCGTTGGGATTGTCAAAATCAGACAGAACTTCCAATAGAAAACCCATTCCAACAGAATATTCTTGTTAGAATTTCCGTTGGAACCATTGAAAAAATTCTAACAGAAATAATAACATTAAAATATCTATTGGAATTGTTATTGGAATTCTATTGAAATATATTTCCGTTGAAATTTCATCATTTTCTTGTAATGGATCAGCTTATAGTGGCTATTTTGCAAATGCGGTTTTGTTTAAAGCATTTAGAGATATAGGGTTTAGTCACTATGAAAATTAAAAATAGGAAACTTTCACACGCACTTTGAACAATTTGAATTTAATTAGGATATATTAATATATAAGTTGTAAACAGTTAAAGTTGCACTTTAATTATTCCATTATACTTGAATTTTTCTTCTTCTTCTTCTTCTTTCTTTTTTTTTTCTTTTTTTTGGCCCAAAAGAGGAATATATATTATACTATACACCTGTTACATTGCATTTGGAAAATTTTGGCGAAATAGTTTATCAAATTACGTAATTATTAGATGCTATTAGCCTGTAGTAAAACTAATGGGACAAAGAAAGGTCATAAAATTGCTTATTTTGGAGAAGAGATTTGTGAAATAGGTGAAAAAGTTAGATAGTTAGACAATTATTTTTTCAATCGATATACATACTTTAAATTGAAAAATTATACTAAAACAATGTAAACAAAAATTTTCCGTTTTATAATATATGCATGCATAAAAAATATGATAGGTCGACCTGCTAGACGGTTAGACAAACACATGCATACTCGAAATTGTGTAATTGTGTTCTTGATTAAGTTACAAGTAAAATAAACTACATTAAAAAATGTACTAATGTATTTCTTACCAGCTTTTATTGTGCAGAACTTCCTTAAATATTTCATAATATTTTTTTAACACATTTGATGAGTTTTATAATCTATTAGATGTGGCCATCTCTTATATGGAAAGCCAAGCAAGGCGGGATTGATGTAATTGACACTTATGTATTTTGGAACCTCCACGAGCCTCAACAAGGGCAGGTTCAATTTTTTTTTTCTTTTATTATATCATACATAAATAAAAGTTCTCAATTTATAATTATAAATATTCAATTTAGTTAAATATTTCCCACAATAACTGATTTTTATATATGTTTTTGCAATGAATTTTTCAGTATGATTTTAGTGGCAGACATGACATTGTGGAATTTATCAAGGAAGTTCAAGCTCAGGGTTTGTACGTTTGCCTTCGGATCGGGCCCTTTATTGAGGGTGAATGGTCACACGGGTAATTCAATTAAATTAAGCTTTTATTTTTATTCATATTTTTCTTAACAATTTTTTTTTTTTTTCTAAAAACATTACTTTTTTAATTATTGAAAATCTATACTTATATAATAAGAATTAACATTTATCCAAAATAGTAGGTCAAATTATGGTCAGTGTCGAATTTGCATTAAATATTTTCCAAAACTGGTAAGTTTTTGTCTTTTTCACATTTCTCATTAATTATGTCTTTTTCACACTTCTCATTAATTATGTCCTTTTCACACTTGTCATTAATTATGTCCTTTTCACACTTCTCATTAATTTTGTCATTTTCACACATCTAATTAATTCATTAATTACGACATAATTATCATAAATCATTCTATTTGAGCTTTAATCGTTAAAATGTATAGCGATCTGTTATGACTTTATCCCATTGATATTTTCATTAAGCGTCCTTATCGCGTTCTATTTTTTGGTAACCACTCTATATCAATAACCGGATATTTGGTTAATGATAGCACACGTCTTTATTTCAATGAGCGGATATTCTTTGACCTTTAATTAATCTGAACTGATTGTCTTGACTTTTCAATTTTTAAAAACTCTTTTTTTTTTAAATATTTTGGCTTAAGATTCGGATTTCATTATACAAGTCATCGGATTGTTTGAATGAAAATGAATGAAAAGAACACCAAAAACAGGTAGCCTTATTCATATAAATAATCCTAAAATATTAGTTTGTTCACCAAAAAGAGACAAATCCTAAAATATTAGTTTGTTCACCAATCTTAAAATATTGGTTTGTTCACCAAAAATATTAGTTTGATTTGTAGGATTTGTCTTTTTTGAAAATATTAGTTTGTGATAATGAGGAGTTACCAAATAATCAAACTCATAATATTGTGTACAAGGAGGTTTTTAATAATATATGATTGTTACCGAACTTTTTATGATTCAACAATGTTCATATGTATTTTAATGATTTCAATTTCAATCCTAATGCACGTGAGATTATATTATTCTTTCAAATGTTACATCCTGTGCATCGCACGGGTTACGTACTAGTATATATATTAAGAGCTAAAACATCATATTTTTGTTGTGATAGAGGATTTCCGATTTGGCTTCGTGATGTGCCCGGCATTGTATTTCGATCCAACAATGAGCCGTTTAAGGTACTAAAATCACAATTTTTAGGATATATTTACATAACTATTTCGAGGTCTGATTCAATTATGAGAAACTAAGCTCAAAACTAAAAATGCCAACACTTATTTCAAATTTGATTTTAGAGTGTGTTTGGTGAGTATACTAAGTTAGCTTATAAGATTTTTGTATTCGAATCAGCTGTAGGATGAACTTTTGTAAGAAGTTTGAGTCTATCCCAAGTGCTTATTTAGGTAACATACAAAAAAGCTAGAGAAAATTTATATTTCATATGATTCTTAAACTAATTTTACCATTTTTTATTATATTGGTTAGCTTTCGTTTATCACCCATCAGCTATCAACTATCAAATAAAAATTAAATTATGATTTATTGGCTAGCTTTCAACAAAATCTACCAAACACACCTTAATTCTAACTAAAAATACAAGCAAACTAGCAGTTTTACTCATGTTGAATAATTACTCAAGTTTATCACACAATTTATTTTAAGCTTTTGAGTCAATTTGCCTAATTAGTAGACAACTATTTTTCCAACAAATTGGTGCTTTGACAAAAATATCTTATCTTATACTTAGAAAAAATAAAGATAAAAAAATGTAAAAACAATTCAAACGATTTTGAAAAACATGTCATTTAAAAATAAAACATACATTGGGCCAATTGACAATTAATTTTATGATTTTAATTTCCAGGAATTTTCTGCCTTTTTTTTTCTGTGCTTTTGTCTTGTGGAGAACAGTTTTACATGAAGAATTTTACAACAAAAATAGTTGACTTGATGAAATCAGAGAAATTGTACGCCTCACAAGGCGGTCCTATTATACTTTCTCAGGTTGGAATTCTACATAATTTTGATTTTATTTAATTTATTTTTTATTTTTTATTTTTATTTTGGTTTAAGGCTCATCCATTTTGGATCATCAAATCTCCATGCAGATTGAGAACGAGTACCAAAATGTAGAAAGAGCCTTCCACGATAAAGGGCCGCCATATGTTCTTTGGGCCGCTAAGATGGCTGTCGGCCTTAAGACTGGTGTCCCATGGATTATGTGCAAGCAAGATGATGCTCCTGATCCCGTGGTAAGCAAAATCCAGCCCAATTACTAGGTCCATATAGTAGATGGGCCTTATTTGTTTCTTTCAAGGTCCTCAAAGCCAAAGCGGCCACCAATATTTAATATTTTTAAATATATATAATATTTTATAAAATAAAATCATGTATAAAAATTTTGTTAATCAAATAGTTAGCCAATTTAAAATATTCAAATACTTAAACAAACTAATCACTAAATTATATATATCCATTATATTTAAATATGTATTTTTTATTGTTATTAAAATAATTTTAAACATCTTAAAGTTTATTTGTCTTTTTAAAAAAATCAGAGCCGGTTTAAACCGGTTCGACCGGCCAATTATTGACTTGTTCGCTGGCAACCGGTTTATTACTGCCAAACTGGACTGGTCAACTGACACAACACGAAAAATGGACACAACTCGACACATTAGAAAACACTATTATGAAGACAACTTACACGATAGCACAGCATGACACGACAAGAAAAATACGAAATAAACAATTTAGTTACATTTTTAACTTATTATCGTACTTATATGATCAAATACATAGAGAAGTTGAGAAAACGACAGTGAAACACGAACACAACACGGTATAAGTGTTTAGGGAATTAAGCTTAAGAAGCTTTGATCAAATTACACATGTAAACAAGAGACATTTCAAACTCACATATAACTAATAGGAGTAATCATAATTCATAAAGCTGCAATTAACCTTCAAATTTATTATGAAATTCTGCAGATCAACACATGCAATGGAATAAGATGTGGAGAGACATTTTCGGGCCCAAACTCAGCAAACAAGCCAGCACTTTGGACAGAAAACTGGACACACTTGTAAGATAAATATGACAACAAAATCATATGCACAGAAAAAATGTATACATATATATAGCTCACAATTTTTGCTGCATTCTCCTCCATTTGAAGCTATGATGTATATGGAAACATCACTAAAATAAGAGCAGTTGAGGACATTGCATATCAGGTTGCTCTTTTCATAGTCAAAATGAATGGCAGCTTCATAAACTATTACATGGTANTGCAATTACCAGTTATTACGACCCGGCTCCCCTCGATGAATACGGTAAATATACTTCATGTAAAAAATAAATAAATAAAATTAACTTCCGTAAAAAATTAATTCAAAGAACAAAAACCATAATTTTACGAAAAAATTACAGGATTAATCACACAGCCAAAGTGGGGTCATCTCCAGGAACTACATGCAGCAGTAAAGCTGTGCTCATATACTCTACTTTACGGATCACGGAATATTACCTCTTTAGGTGCACTACAAGATGTAAGAACTTGTAAATTCCAACAGATTATTAATTTACTTTGTTAAGATGCTTATTTACGAACAATAT